GCTGCCGGAATGGGGAAAACACCAAAACAACACCAAAGACATACATCGTGAATTCTCAGAAAGCAGTATTGCTTCGCGGAATGAAACGAGGAGTGCAGTGGGCGTCCACCATCAGAACATATCTCCGATTCCATTCTTCTGCGAGCCGTATCCCCAATTTGAATAGGACTAATTGCTTGCATAGAAAAGTACCTTAAATAGGTACATAAAAGAGATATCCGGCGTAATTCAGGTAAAAATCGGACATAACGAAACTAAAAGACACCATACTTGTCATATATAGACATTGCATCCTCAAGAGCTTCCTCATCAGGGAGAGAGTCGTAATTTTTTTCAAAAGCATTGCATGCTAAGAGAAACTGGAGACAATCGTGATCATGACGATCGTCGACAAACTGTAAGAAAAGCATAAAAATCACTTCTATTTCTCAATAAGAAAAATATCAAAATTACCTCCAAAAACGCATTTAACAAAGCCGGAACATACAGAATGTCATCGAGACTACACCAGCGAGAGAAAACTTGTAGCTGATATTTCTTATGGTATAAACTATTCTCAAAATCTTTAAAGTACCTATAAATAGGTTGCTCTATGATTACAAAAGAGCTTAATGAACAAAAAAGTGCCCAAAGCATTATGACCTACCGTAAGTCAAACAAACTGTGAACGAAATTTTTCGCTTCATCGAAAATGTCTGACGAAATCGGCTGTTCCGATAGTCTGTCTGCAATAGAGTTATGAACCATATGAGAGCGAATGTTGCAACTGAACTGAACAATTTACCAAATATGCGTTCTGAAATCTTCTTTGGAAGAGATATGCTGCAAGCAGCATCCGTATCAATATATCTGCTGAATATATTGCGAGCGTCGAGAAGAGCAACTGTAATTTGGAACCTTCTCATATTTGTACAACGCACAGACTCTTGCTTTCGTCAAACTTTGTTCAGTGGAAACGGGCAAAATAATGGGAGCAACGAAAGCAAACACGATAGCTATGAGCAGCAGGCGAAGCATGGAATAAATTTGGAATTGAGCATGTTTAAGTTATAAAGGTATTTTTCGTTTCACGAGGGAAAGTTTCCCATAAGTCTGGGTCATAGGTTTAAAAAAAGGCGCACAAGAGCAGCTTACTAAGAAAAGGCTCGTTTGTTGAATTATGAACGACAGCATGCGCCGAAGCAGCAGAGAAAATAAAAATGCTCAATAACTTTTTTCGAAAGTTCTGATTATGAACGTGAAACAGCGAAAAACAACGTAAAAATCATTGTACAACGTGCTAATAAAAGTATGTTATAACGACTCACGTGAATTTTCAGCAGTTTGTGCACATCGTGCTCTCTCCTCTCCCAACGATGCCTTGAAGCCCTCGACATGTATACAAAATTTTACAAGGTTCAATTTATCTGAAACGCACCGCTTACAGATGACACTGAAGAAGGCGAATAACTAGCTGTGAGACAATGTCGGAGAAAAAAAGTTCTCAGAGTAGTGTAAAAGCGTGGTTCTTACAAGAGATCGGTCCCAAGTTCCCACACAATTTTTGGTGGAGACTTAGGTTCGGTAGTCTCGGATGCTGATAGCGAATATGCTGATCAAAAGTGCTACAGGGATCTTCCAAAACCATGCTTCCGGACGGTTAAAGCTCTATGTAAATGCAGTGTTGGCATGTGAGCACAGCTGAGCTGTGCCATGTCAGTGCCATTGGCATACTGATCGTTGTCTCGCTTCACAGGCAAGAAAAAAGGGTTTCATTGGCACGAAAACTTTTGTCTTGTCTTCTACACTCCAAATTTTGGCATACCTTCAAATGAACGAACCAACAGAGCGAAGTCAAGCAGATGATGTGTGAAATATAGAATTGGTCACTATGTTCCCCTCGGACACTTACTACATATCCGATAGGTTGAAGATCAGCATCTCAATTTAGTCAGAAATTCGTGCCGGGTGCAGTTTCACTTCGCTTGAATATAGCATCTGGTAAGAAGTAAGAAGTGGTCGTAGCATTCTACAGAGAGTGATATAGCATCTGTTTGGAGAGGAAACCTGCGGACTGTGATGAAGAGTGAATATA